TGGCCCACGCTCGAGGCTCCGGCCCAACACCGCCTGTACTCTGGGACGCTCTGGCAGGTGGATCCCAGGACCGGCAGCTGCAGGGACAGGTCAGGATAAGTGGCTTCTACATGGTTTCCCAGATGCAGGAAAGCAGAACAAAGGAGGCCTCCCGGAGTGAGCTCGGCCGCCCTGTTGCCGCTCTCATGCCTTGTGACCGGCATTAAGCATTTACTCGCTCTGTGCCTCAGTTTCTCCATGTCTATTGGCCTCCTCCGTTGGGGTAATAACTGCTTTCCGTGATGGGGGGGCTGGGGAAAGCCCGATGCAATAGCTGGCCTGATACGTAAAGTGAGAGCGCCCCCTGGTGGAAGGCCTGTCCCACACACATTATGAAAGGGACCAGGGACAGAACCTGTGTCATCCTGTGTCACGGGAACGAAAGGAGGTGCTGGAACTCAGAACGTGACACCCCCCAGACGCGGTGCTTTGGCATGGAGGAGTTAGGAAGCCTTAGAGCAGTCTCTCAACTTTCTTCTGCCCTCCTGTCTCCTACTCCTCCCTTCCCTGGGGGAAGGCATCTAAAAAGTACAACCACCGTCCCAGAAATCAAGCCACGAAACCCAGAAACTTCACTATAACCTTCCCTGCCTCTGTGTAGGCCCTGGCCATCAAGAAGTTCTCTGGCCTACAGAGTGCTGAGAGTAAGTGACCGTTCAGTGCTCAGCCCTAAATGGCTGGATCACGCCCCCCCTCCTAAGGCTCAGGGAACATTCTGGAAGAGAAGGCGGATAAAATGTGAGGGACAGAGGATGGGGCGGAGTGTGTGAAATGCTATCTTTTGGACATGACATGGCTGCTGCACGAAGCCAAACCAACGAGACCGGTCAACATCCCAGCAGGCTGCGCTAATTGGACTTAGTGGGTTAAGCACAAAACGAGAGCACAGGGGTGGGAAGGGGACATGTTGGGGGCAGAGGGGTGGGAGCAGGGAGCTGGCGGGAGATGTAATCAAGATACATACATACATGTATGAAATTGTCAAAGAATAAACAAAAGATATTCTTTCTTAAAAAGTTCTCTGAGTTGGGTGGGCCACTGGTGGCACAAGCCGTTAATCCCAGAGGCAGAGGCAGAGGCAGAGGCAGGCACACTACCCTTCAGAATGGAATTCATGTTTGCAGAACCAGCTTTTGCCTTTGTGGAAGAGCTGAGCAGCCCAGCGCAGAATAGCTGGCTTGGTAGGGTGTGAGGGCTGCAGTGGGAGAAGTCACCAAGCTCCTTAGTAATGACATGCTGTGCTTATTAGGAACCCAGTGTCAGCCTGGGATGGTCTACATGGCCAGTTCAGCTGGGGCTACACAGTAAGACCCCACCTCAAAACAAACAAGTAAACAAACAAAAAGTTCTTTGACTTACCTTATGAACTCCCTTCCTCACACGTGGCAGGAAGCAGTGAGATATTGTGAGGCCAAGGACTTTCCAGGCAGACAGCCCTGCTACCCTTTCCCCAACCTTAGCCCCACTGGGCCACGCTCTTCTTGTTCAATCACTTTTCCATATGAACTTTATTCTTCATCAAATCTAAGCATAAAAAATAGCCTTCCCAGGGCTGGGGCGGTAGCTCGATTGGTAGAATGTTTGCCGAGCATGCATGGAGCCCTGAGTTCAATCCCCAGCAGCACTTATACCAGGTGTGGTGGTGCATAACTGTAATCCCAGGGTTTGGGAGGTAGAGGCAGGAGAATAAGTGTAAAGTCATCTTCAGATATATCGTAAGTTCAAGGACAGCCTGAGCTACTTCTCAAAAAGAGTAGTCTTCCCTGGGTCTTTGAGTCTTCATTTGTGAAAATCCCCCCACCCTATAAAACTGGGATTCGATGAATTTGCTGTGCTTTGCACTTGCTGCCTGCATTTCGGTACAGGAGTAAGGGTCAGCTCCTCTGCAGGTCAAGGACAGCCAGCACACCTCTCTGCCACTACAAAGGCCGACGATGCAAACACAAGAAGAAAGTCCAACCAAACCTCGCTGTTCTTGGCCGCGGAGCCACTGCTGACTTTGGGGAGGACAGTCCCATGGCCTAGCCTCTCTGGAGGAGGTGTGCTCACTCCTGCATGAAGACACCCTTTGGGCTAGTAGCTTTTCTTCCGGGAATTTTTCCTACATACATGTATAGCTGTGCTCCAATAACACAAGGCTACCTCCTAAAGCACTGTCGAAATATAAAAAAGACCACAGATGTCCCAGAAGGATACCCTAGGGTGGGGTTAAACTACCTACGTACAGCCACACCATGGAATCCCACAGGGCTCATTAGAGACTGAAGCGGCTTTCTGCAGAGTGAGAGGGAACCATCCCCACAAGTGTAGAGTGAGAAACAAAACTTCGTTGAAAAATGTTGAAGACCCGAGTAAACAAGAAAGCTGGTGTCGCTTTAGGGAGGGGACTCCGCGTCAGAGAAACCAATAGTCCCCCAATTCTACAGGTTCAAAGCAATTCCATTCAACATTGTTAAAGGCCAAGTGCAGATGGGTGGTTCCTGGGATGTGTTCTACAATTTAAGAAGTTTTATAAAGAGACGATGATGGGAGCTGGAGAGATGGCTCAGTGGTTAAGAGCACTGACTGCTCTTGCAGAGGACCCGGGTTTGAGTCCCAGCACCCACATGGCGGCTAAGAACCGTCCTTAATTCCAGTTCCAGTGCAGGGGGGCAGGGGAAGGCAGTTTCCTGGGGCTCAATTGCCAGCCAGCCTAATCTACTTGGCCAGTTTTAGGCCATCCACAAAGTAGACAGTGCCTGAGGGACACTAGCCAAGGTTGTCCCGTGGCCTCTACATGAATACGCACACATGTGCACCTGTGCACATATGAACACACATGTATTCTCTTGTGTGTGTGTGCATGTGTGTGAAAGGGAAAAGCATCAGACAAGTGGAGCACATATGTAATCCCACTTAGGAGGCTGAGGAAGGAAAGAGGATTGCTTCAAGTTTGAGGCCAGCTTGGGCTACACAGTGAGACCCTGTCTCAATCAAAACAAAGCATACATTCGTGTATCTGTGTGCATGTGTGTACACACAACTTCTCTGTAATCAGGCAAGGATAGGACATTTACCACCAAACCAGCAAAATAAAACTGCCTGTGGAAATGGGGCCGTCATCCACTGTAAAGTTTTATTTCACTTTTATAAGGGTTAAACAAGGCAGAACTAAGCAATATATTGTTGAGAACTGCTCATGTGTGTGCTAAGACTGCAAAGGAAGGCAAGAGGACGGTGAACGTAATACTCTGGGCGGTGCCCATTTCCAGGAATGTACTCTGGGGTTCAGAATGGTAAGGACCATGTTGCGTGCTTTCAAGGTGCAAGAAGTTATCCGTTGTTTCCTAAAGTGGACAGGTTGTAGCAAATAAAGGATGTGAATTAGTTACAATAATAATAGTAAGAATGGTTAGTGGCTATTTCAGCAAGATTGATAATTCCTTCTTGGAAGATAAATCAGAGAAACAACACAGAGGTTTAATTTTGATTTGGTTGGCTATAAAAGTCATACATAATTTTCCTTGTTTGTGAGATGCTTTGAGTGCTTCAGGGACTTGTAATGAGAACTGATCTATGGCCACTTGGAAGATCTGTATAGTTTTATAACTCATCGACCTAAAAATGTCTGTTTTTAATGTGTTCTGTATTTTGTCACATATGCCATTAAACCGAATTTCATTCTCAAAACAAATTTTTTTAAAATAAAGGATTCGCTTATCATTGAAAAATAATAATAATAAAAATGCTGGGCGTGGTGGTTCACACCTTTAGTCCCAGCATCCAGGAGGCAGAGGCAGGCAGATCTCTGTGAGTTCAAGGTAAGCCTGGTCTACATAGTGAGTTCCAGGACAGCTGGGGCTACAAGGAGACACTGTCTCAAAAAGACAGGAAGAAGAAGAAAGAAGAAAGGAGGAAGGAGGAGGAGGGAGGAGGAGGAAGGAGGAGGAAGGAGGAAGGAGGAGGAAGGAGGAGGAGGAGAAGAAGAAAAAGAAGAGGAGGAGGAGGAGGAGGAGGAGGAGGAAGAGGAAGAGGAAGAGGAAGAGGAAGAAGAAGAATGTGTGGTTGGGACTCAGTCGACCCTGACAGGAAACATCAGTGAATTCAAGGTTTGCCTCTCACCCCAAGCACAGAGAAGAGAATTCAGACTATTTCCTTTTTAAATTTTATTTTTGGTTTTGTGAGACCAGGTCTCACTGTAGCCCAAGCTGGCCTAGAACTATCTTGGGCCTAGAACTATGTAAACCAGGCTGGCCTTGAACCCACAGAGATCCACCTGCCTCCACCTCCTGAGTGCTGGGATTAAAGGTGTGCTACACCACGCCTAGCTCCTTTTATTTACATTTTTTTCTTTGACTTTTAATTTTTATTTTATGTGTATGAGTGCTTTTTGGCCTGAATGTTAAGTGCACCCATAAGCACAAAGTCCATGGCAGGGAAGAGGGTGTTGGATCCGCTGGAACTGGAGTTTTAGACAGTTAACCATCATGTGGGTGTTGGGAACTGAACCCAGGTCCTCTGCAAGAGCAGTGTCTTAACCGCTGAGCCGTCTCTCCAGACCTCCATATTTCCATTTTTAAGTATAATTCACCTCATGTTTTAGAGGACACCCGGCATCCTCACCCTGAGCAGGCCTCCACAGCCTGCACCACTCCCCGGTCCTGGCTGGGGAACTGGGCCAGCACTGCGCTGGGGTCGGCTGGAAGACCTCGGAGGCGGGCTCTCGGAGACCCAGGATGGCAGAGAAGGGACCCACCAGACCCAGGCCAAGAACCTCAGCGCCGGGGATGGGGAAGGACAGGCCCGCCACGCCCATCTGCTTGGCTACCAGAGACACAAGCCCAGAGGAAAAACTACAATTCCCAGCAGCCCCTGCAGCCAGCGCAGACTGCGGAGGTTGGGGTCGGAACACAGAGCAGAGGCTGCCGGGAGAACGTGGCCCGGACGGCGAGGAGCGGCGTGGGGACGCAGGCGCAGAGCAGAGGCTGCCGGGAGCGCGCGGCGGGGACGGGGCGCAGGCGCAGAGCAGAGGCTGCCGGGAGCGCGCGGCGGGGCGGAAGTGGCCACCCGCCCTGTCCCGCTCTGCGCAGGTCGGCGGCAGCCCACGGGTTCCCGGAGCTAGGGTCTCAGTGGGTGAGTGACGGCGCGCCCGCGGCCCGGTGTCCTCCCCCGTCGTGTCCCGTCGCCGCCGGCACCTGGCCCGCCTAGCCCTGGGCACCGCAGGTTCCTTCTGGGGCTGGTTGGGGTGCGACCCAGACGGACACATCCGCCTGTGACTAGTGCCGGACCGACATCACCCCCTCTCTGTAGTGTGGGGGACGCCCCCACCCCGATTAGTGCGCATTGTCAGACTAGTCTGAGACTTCTCCCTCTCTGAGCGTGCCTCACCTGCCCCTGGCGACCGCCCCGGTCCGCCCCGCCCCCCTGGCTTCCCAGATCTCGGCCCAGGAAGGGGCTTCTCCGTCTGGCACTTGGTCACCCCTGGAACAGACCTTCCCACCCATCTCCACCTGTAACCCCCCTTCCGGTTCCGTCTCAGGCCGTGGTCACCTTGCCCTCATCCAAGGACCGCACAGCTCACGCTCCATCTTTTTCTGCTCAGTAGCTATCCACCCCCTCCGGCATTTCTGCACACACACCCCAGTCTGGTTCGGATTCTTCCAAACCCGGAGGACTGGCATCCTCCTGGCCCATCCTCATTGTTCGGTGCCTTCTAGTCTCTCTGAACAAGCTCTTCTTGGCTGAGAAAACCTATGACACCCTTCATCCACCTCCAGGAAGCCATCTTTCCCAAGCACCCTTCCCCACAGACACTCAACACCAGCTCAGCAACCGGCCCCATGTCTCGTCCCCATCTCCGGACTAAATGCTACACATCTTCCTACCACCTTTTCAATGAAGCTTGGGAACGTGGGCTATTGGTGTCCCTGAGACCTGGCTGGTGAGAACTTAAAACTAAAAACAGGTTTCAGAAGGATCCAGGACAAGGGAGCACGTGCTGCAGGAGCCGAGTTGTCCACCCTCTTTCCAGCTGCTCCCCAGGCCTGATCCCCACAGTCCGGCTGGAGCCTGTAGACACATCAGGATCACCCTAGGGCCCCTCCCTGCTGAACCCACAATGAACCTTCTGTGTGTCCCTGAGTTGGAGGAACCAGCCTGGTCCCCTCTGAATGAGACAAGGCTTGTCTGCCACATACAGCCCAGAGCATGTCCAAGCAAGGACTCAGGTGAAGCCTAGGTCCGTCAGGCGAGGGACAGAATTCTGGGGTTTTCTTGCATTTTCTTTGTGCATATTGGCCTGCTTTTAAAAGACCCAAGCCACAGATTAATGGAGGAAATTGGCATCTTGCAGTTGAGTGAATCACTTCGTGTGACCCTTGGTCCCCTTACCACTAGTACTTTACATAGCTAAGTCTCCCTTCGTATTTTCACAGCCTACAGCAGCTCTGTGGAGGTAGTAGTTTAAGCTGTTGGTTCCACCAGCCAGTCTAACAGCACACCTCATCTGCTGTGCCCACCAAGCAGAGGGGGCAGGAAGAGGCCCAGGCTGCAGTGGAGGCCGGTGTCCCTGCTCTGACCACGTTTCCACCCTCCCCCAAATGTAGCATGTATGCCCGTGGGGCTCCCACAGACACTCGTGGCCCTGTCATCTGAGTGCAGATCGTCCTTTGCAGCAGTGTGGCCGTCCTCACGGCCGTACAGGTAGGTGTGCCAGCATGCTGACTGCTATTTCAGGACGGGCTGGGAGCTGGTGCTGTGGTCCACAGTGCTAGAGGGGGAGATCCTTCCTCCCTGGAGTGGCATAGGATGCTCAGTAAAAGCCCCTGTTGGTTCTTCTTTCTCCCTTCTGAACGTTGAGAATTCCTGGAAAGATTGTTGTTAAATGCCAGCATGGAGGGAATTAAACACCTGTATACTGATTTTTAAGAACTTCTATTTTGACTCTCTTTTTAGTTAAGACGATTGGCTAAGAAACGATCAGACGATTGGCTGATCACAGAAGAGTCTGCTTGGGGAGACTAGAGTTCCTACCAGTCGATATTTCTTTTGAGACGCCCCCCCCCGGCCCCCCGCCTTGTTTTTCTGTCATGAGCTTGGCTGTTAAGTAGAGCCTGGGGCTCCTGGCTTTCAGGCTCCACACTGCTGCCCCTCTATCAGTGCCACAGGAGGTGGGCAGGAAGCTGAAGCCAGCTCCAGTGCATGGAGGGTGAGCAGTGGGGGTGAGTGTGAGACAGGGACCTATCAGCATGGTTCTAAGGGTCTTGCCGTGGTCCCAGGAGCCGCACTGAGGGAAGTACAGGGAGAGCAGTGCTTGTGCCCAAAGTGCAACTGCAGTCTGGAAGGGAGCACTGATTAGATCAGTCTGAGATTGTCGCATCCTTGTGTTTTCAGGCACCCTGGGATCCAAAGTGTTTGGGATGCCATTTTGCCTAGAGGGTAGCTCTGTTGCTGAGGATCCTCCCAGGACTTTGGGAGGACAGAGTAAGCCGGTGTAGCCATACTGTGATGCCACAGATGCAGACTGGGGAGGGTTCTGAAGCCGTGTGGCCTGTAGAAGACTTGATGTGACCTGTGACAATCCCCAGGATGGCCAGACCCACCCCCAGCCTGTGGGTGCCAATCCCTGGCCTGAAAACGGGGAGGTTTCCCCACATTCCCCATGGGGTAGGGTCTCAGGGCCATCAAGAGAAGAGTGAGGGGACCTGAGTGAAGAGCCAGGAGGTGCTGAGACGTGCCACATCACTGGCTCTGAAGAGGGGGTGAGGGAGCACAGGCAAGGAGCCTCTGGGTGCTGGCAGAGGCCAAGGAGTGGGTCCCACTCAAGAACCTCAGAAAGGAGCCAGTCCTGGGGTAGCGCAAAGAGGCCGTGCCAGACTTCTGCAGGCGTGGGAAATAATACTTTGTGCTGCTGAAGCCACCGGGTCTGTAGTAGTTAAGTTACTGCAGCAGTGAGACTAACACATTTCTTCTGAGTAGTTGACTTAGAACAGGCTGAAAAGTTATCCCCAGTGGTATGAAAGTTGACTCAGGAAAGAACTGTCACTGCCTCTTCTGAGTGTGACACTGGGGTGTGGGTACAGATGTCAGAGACCCAGAGCCACATGTGGCCCTTGAGAAAGATGCTGGATGAGAGGAGGTGTGGTCTCTGGGGTCCCTAGAGCATGCATTTCCCTACCCTCTTTTCCCCGGGCCAACCATCTGTCTGCACTGGGAGGAGTCCTCAGGTATGCAGTAGTGAGCTTAGCAAGTGCAAAACCAGGAGTCCGGCACCATGTTCAAGTGCCTAGCCCATGGAGGTACGAAGTGTGTGTTCCCAGAAACCTGCCATCAGAGGCTGCTGGGAAGCCTGGGTCTCTGCCTCTACCTTCCTCAACAGTCCACCTGGTCAGTGGCTTCATGCTTCACTGTGTGATGAGGAAGCAAGCTTCAGATTAAGCAGAGGAGCCACTTGAGGCCTGTCCACTCTCTCTCATGGAAGGAAGAAGAGAGAAGCCCAGCCCCTTTCTGCAGGAAGTGTGTTCAGGCCAAAGGCTGGGGAAAGTAGAACTAAGCTGGCCTTCCTGAATCCTGGAAGGGAGGAGTTTGCTGTGGCAGCGGCCTTGAACCTGTCTGAGCTGCCACCTGTCAGCACAAGCCACTCCTAAAGGAAGCAGGAGGTGGACAGGCCATCTTGGCTCTTCTGTGGAGCGCTGTGCAGAGCCAAGGGTGTTGATGGAGGAGGGTGCCCTCTGTGCTTCCTGATAGCTAGACTGGCAGCTCCTGGCTGCGGAGAGAAAAATGCTTCCGGCCTGGCTCAGTGCTTCTCCCTTGCTGTCTACAAATGTTCTTTGGAGTGGACAGACAGTTGTGTGTGTCCATTGAGGAAGTGAGGTAAGGCCCCGCTCTTTCACATGGAGAGTGGTGAGCCGCTCATCACCCACTGGAAAGTAGCGGGGAGGAGCGGGGCTTAGGGTGCCTCTCAGGTGGTGGGTACTCCTGCCTGTCCTTTGCACCTCTGCTGCACTGGGGCAGCAGCATGGCAGCTGTGCGCCAGGAGAGAGTTTGTCTGCGTGCCACAGGCCATGCCCGTGGCTGACCCAGGGACCACCTTTACCACCTGCAGCTCAGAACATGTGGACACACTTCTTATCATGATCATGCAAACCAGTAAAGGTCTCAGGGCTCAGAAGGGGCTGGGCAGAGGCACACTCACACTAGCCCTTCTAGGGAAGCCGTTTTGTCTTTCACTTCCAGTGACTCCCTTCCTGTGGCCTTAGCAACAGCCACAGCCACACAGAGTAGGTCTTAGGTGCTAAACAGCAAGGGTCACGGGACACTAGTGAAAGGGTGGCTGATGTGACGCTTTCTTCCTAGCACAGAAAATCAAATGGTGGAAGAAGAGAACCACAGGAAGGTCTTCTGGTGGGAATGGTCATAGAGGTTTCTGGAAGGCAGGCAGAAGTTCACTGTTGCTGAAAGCACCTTCCCTCCTTTAACCAAAGGTGACCAAGCGCCAGGGTTTCTGTCTGTCCCCCCTCTGTTCTTGGGGAGTCTGCTTGGCTAAACCCCTCCCTTCGGTGTGGAGTGACCCAGGTACCGATGGCCCGTAAGCCACTGTCCAGAGGGTCTCCTTTCCTGGGGTGCTGTAGGGAATGGCACACGGTGGCCAAGGTGACATGAGTTCGTTCCCCCAGGCCTGGCTAGTCAGTGACCGGCATCGTTGGTTCCAGTGTCGGCACCACAGGGTGTCAAGGGCGCCTTCTGAGGCTCTGAGGGAGAACCAGTTGGTTTTCTGGTTCCTGGGTAGGGGGCTGTATCGGTTTTCCACAGGAGGGATGACTTGCTGGGCAAGGAGGCGCTCATCATAGACCCAGAACTGTAGAAGCAGGCTAAGATGGCAACTAGAGGTTCTGGGTGGCACCGTGTGGTCAGAGGTGTGCATGGGGCAGGTGGAGCACTGCATGTTGAGGTCTGGACACGTGGAATCTGGATTTGCAGATCGCCCTGTATTTGAATTTGTGAGAAGTTAGGCTGGAAAACCAAGCCAGGCCTTCTCTGCAGTCTGTGGCAGGTGGGAGATGCACTTGTAGGAAGGAGGACTGGCAGGCAGACCCCGGGCAAAGCCTTCTCTCCCTGCATCTGGCTCAGTTGTCAGCAGGGGTCTGGGAAGGAAGCTGAGGTCCACAGAAATGAAGTCCTTGCCTGAGGTCACTAATCGGTCATCGACAGGGCAACAGTTAGGACCATGAATGTCGAGAGAATTAGGTCTGGAGACCTGCTGGGACAGGACCAACGCTGTGGGTGAAGGTGTGGTGGTTCACGGGGGTGCAGCGCCTGTTCAACAGGGACGAGTGTGAGGGTTCCAGGGACATCATAGTGTGACACCTGTCTACACAGCAGGCATGTTAGTGGGCCTGTGGCTCACATGGGGCAGCTGAGCGACTTGGTCACCAGAACCTTTCTCTGCAGCTGTGCACTTTCAGGATGACTAGGGGGACGCTGTGGTGCTGGTGTTTGAGCCCTTTGGCAGATGTGTGCCGAGTTTCTCCTGGACGCCAGCCCTTAGCCAGGTGCCAGAGGTGCAGCAGGGAAGCCCCTGTCCCAGGAAGTTCCCAGCAGAGGAGGACAGTTACCGCAGGTTCTTTGTACGTTGGAGAGTCTCTGGGAGCCCTGAGGGTGTGAGTGAACCCACTATGCAGAGCAGGGCCAGCCAGTATCCTGGGAAAGGGAGTGACAAAGCTTGCCCTGGGAATGAGGGCCCTCGTGGTTAGGATGGAAGGGGGTCTGCAAGCAGAGAGTAGGGATTGGGGAGGACCGGGGCAGCCATTGAAGATCCCACAGCAGGCACTGGCTGCTGTGTGCAAAGGACTGTTGGAGTGGGCGCAGAGGGACAAGGAGCCCGTGGGCATGGTTTGGGTGACAGGATGGTAGGTCAGAGACAGGTTTGGGGTGGGACAGACCTGGTAGTAAGGCAGGGGTGGGGTGTTGGAGATAAGGGGAAGGATTGAGGCCACTTCTTGGCACCAAGTAGCAGTTTAGAACCTTTTGTAGAAGTGTAACGTTCACACTGAAAGTGCATCTTTTCCAGGAGTGTCCATGGGAGTTTCGGCTTGGATAGAGCGTTATGTCAGCTCGGCATCCCAGGGGAGGATGGAGTGAATCAGCAGGAGGCCAGGGATCTCAGACTCAAGTTCTGAAATGGTGTCTGTGGTTTAAATTGGAATTGCTGTGGCATTTGCGTAGTCAGCGAGGTAGAGGGCGCAGAGCTCAGTGTCAAGTCCAGGCTGAGGGTAAAACAGAAACCCTGGGCCTGGCTGGAGCCTTTGAAGCCCTGGTGTTAGAGAAGAACTGGACAAGACCCAAGGAGGCGCCACCAGCACCAGGAAAAGGCTTTGGTAACTAACTCTGTGGCCATTCCAAAAGTCAGCCATTGCTCAGGGCAGGTGCCTGGGAGGCCACCCAGCAGGCTGGTTGTAGCAGCCCCTTGAGAGCACAGAGCCTGCTTCTGCCCCTGCTGTCAGCAGCAGTTCCCATACCCACTGTACTATGGGCTCAAACCTGCAAACAGGTAGCCTGTGACCTGGGGGTGGGGGGTGCCTTGCAGCTGCCAACACCAGAGCCTTATGGTCAGGGTGCATAGGCCCTACAATCAGAGCTGCTGGAATTCCCAAGCCTTTTCCAGATGCTACCTGGCAGCGTGTGCCCGTCAAGTCCCACATGTGCGACTCCTGGATTTGTCCAAGACAGTGACCAACATGCTTCTGCAACCCATAGGGAAGGCCAGTGTTGGTTACAGGTGAAGACCCAAGCGCAGCAGCAGCTGTCCTGTGCAGTGCTAGGAACAGCCTCCAGGTGTGGCTCTAGACAGCAGCCTGGAGACAGTCACCCTTCCGCCATGGCAGGTGTTAACCCTGGAGCCTGTGACACTGGGTTGTCATGCTCTGTGCTGGGAGCAGGCAGGGCAGGCAGTGGTGAGGAGCTGCAGTTCCCAGTTTGCACCAGTGCCCTGGGGTCACAGGGTGTGCTCAGCAGGGGCCTGGGGCAAAGCCAGGCCCGAAATCCTAAGGTGAGCCCAACTGGACTCTGGTTGCTTGTGTTTAGTAGAAAAAGAAAAGAAAACAGCGAGTGTTTCTAGCTCTTCACAGCTATATGGGAATATTATAGACCCTGACCTGGGAGGGAAAGACGCAGTGAGCCTCCATCAGCTCTGTGCAAAGTACTGCCAGGTGCAGGCAACAGGAAGCAGACTGCCAACTGACATGCTGGCGACCCAGGAGCAGGGAGGTTGGGGAGGATTGAAGGATGGCACTGAGTCAGGCACAAGTCAGCACCTTTCTGTTATGCTGCCCCTACCCTCCAACTCCCCTGCTGTGTCTGCTAGCCTGTAGGCACTTGCCCACACTAACCTCTTCCCTCAACTTTCTGTCTTATCCTCTGGACCCGAGAGAAGATGGCATCGCTTCAGAATGCGTCCAGTCTCACCGAGTAAGACTGGCGATCACGCTGCTGAAGCCAGGGTCTGGTCTGGCTGCTGCAGCCATGGAGTACATTCTCCTGAATGAGCCGGACTCCAGCGAGTGCAGCTTCAGCCTGGAGAAGCAGCGGCCTCCACAGCCTGATCACCGCTCTCCTCTCCCCATGCAGGTCCCACCCGGCGTGCAGTCTGATGCCCATCCCGCCCTCTGACCCCCGGGAATGGAATGAGCCTATGCACTCCCTCCGGATCAGTGTGGGGGGCCTTCCTGTGCTGGCATCCATGACCAAGGCTGCGGACCCTCGCTTCCGCCCCCGCTGGAAGGTGATCTTGACGTCCTTTGTGGGTGCTGCCTTCCTCTGGCTGCTATATTCTCACCGCCCAACACCGGCTCCAGGCAGGTCCCCCACCCACAACACACACAATTGGAGGCTCAGCCAAGAACATACGTCGCACTACAATGACACCTACCCCCTGTCACCTTCACAGAGGACTCCAGGGGGGATTCGGTACCGGATCGCAGTCATTGCTGACTTGGACACGGGGTCTAGGGCCCAGAAGGAAAACACCTGGTTTAGTTACCTAAAGAAGGGCTACCTGACCCTGTCGGACAGCGGGGACAAGGTGGCTGTGGAGTGGGACAAAGACCGTGGGGTCCTGGAGTCCCACCTGGCAGAAAAAGGGCGGGGCATGGAGCTCTCCGACCTGATTGTCTTCAATGGGAAACTGTACTCGGTGGACGACCGCACAGGGGTCATCTACCAGATTGAAGGCACCAAGGCGGTGCCCTGGGTGATCCTTCCTGATGGCGATGGTTCAGTGGAGAAAGGTAAGTGGAGTCCCTCTCTGTGGCTGAGCTTTCGTTGGCCGCCAGGGGCTCCGAGACTCCTGGCGGCTGGCTGAAGATTGATTTGCTCTTAGAATATGTGTGTTACTCTTCTTGCTATGACAGAAAACATGACAAAAATAAGGAAAGAGGGGCTTACTTGACCCACAGTTTGGGGACACGGACCATTGTGGTGGGGAAGGCTGGCCACAGGAGCACGAGGCAGCTGACGACGCTGCATCTGCTGTCGGGAAGCAGAGAGCGGTGCTGGTGCTCCTGCTCCCTTCTCCCTACTCAGTGCATTGTGGTACTCAGTGCCAGGACCGCAGCCCAGGAATGGTGCCTTCTGCATTTAGGGTGGGTTTTCCCACCTCCTTTAACCCAGTCTAGAAACTCCCTCACCTGCAGTGCCTAGAGGTTTGTTGCCATGGTGATCCTAAATCCCATCAAGTTGACTAGATTAACTACAGAAAATAATCCAGGTGCTGGGGAAAGCCTCACACCCCAGGAGGGGGCGACACCCATGCTGCTCTGCCCTAGCAGAGCCCTAAGTGCCTCCCATGGAGTTACTTCTGGAAGTCCGAACTGATCGTTATGTTGGCTGCAGTATGGGCACCTCCTTTCAGAACAAGCCTGGTGGGTCACTTTGACCGAGACTCTAATCTCAGTGAATCGGGGCTGCAGGTCAGCAGCTGCCACGCAGCCTCCTCTGAGTCCAGCACAAAGGGTCTGAGTGTGAGTGGCAGCAGCCCCTGGGAGCAGAATCTGGTCTCAGACATTTAGCAGATAAGAGTCCCTGCTTCCACGGGGTGGAGGACGGCATGGCGCTCCCAGACCCTCATACAGGGAGGACAGGGAAGGGTCCAGAGTATGGCAGAATTGACTTGTCTGAGGCCTTGTAAGATTTGACCCTGACAGCACAGTGGACCGGCCCTGCCCGGTGATAAAATCTCCAGTGTTTACCCAAGGCGGGGCAGTTGGGAGGGGCTGTTTCCACCAAGTGTCAGCAGTGGCGCTCTCCCATTTCCTGTACCATTGTGTGGGGCAGTCCTTCCCCTTGGATGGGAAAAAAGCAGGGCAGTGGGCTCTTCAGAACTGGGCAGTGATTGGTCATCCAGAAGCAGCCCCCGGGACTCAGGAGGTCACTGGGGCACAGGAACTGAGTAGGTCCTCCCAGAGCCACCCGAGGGCGGTCAGCACTGCTGGCTCCAGCCCCTTGGGTGAGTGAGGAGCCTGCAGGAGATTTGAGAGCTGGCACTTTGGGGATGCAGGGAGAAGGTGCTGGAAGAACGTAGGCCCTTATCCCGTGTGCACCGAGCTGCGATCCACACACTAGGCTTGTGTGAGATAAGTCGGCTCCTGGGTGAAAGCTCTGAGACGCTGACGGATGAGGCTCAAAGTTGCACCACTGCCCAGCCCAAAGACCCTGTTACTGTGCTTTCTTCATCTGAGGGAAAGGACAGTCTGAAACCCTGGCCAATGAGGGGTGGGAGATGGGTGGCCCTGCAGCAAGGTGTTGGGCAGTGGCAGGGAACTATCACACGTGGAACCCTTTCCAGCTCTGACTGCTCTACACACAAGACCCAGGAGAGGGGTTGCTGGTCCAGGAGCTGAGGGGAGGGTGGAGTTCCAGCACAGGAGGGCTGGGAACCATCTAGAATGCAGTTTCTGGAGGAGTTGCTCACGAGGTGGGGTCTCCTTGGAGGGAAGGGGGTAAAGAAGAGGAGGATGGACTCTGGGACCCAGCACACGGCCCTGCACACGCTCCTTTCTGGGGCCTCTGGTCCTCGCCTTCCTTGAAGCCAGGTGGCAAAGTAGACCATGTAAAGCTGCTGGGCCGGTGCTGTTTGTGACAACAGCACTCAGGAGCTAGGCAGGCGAGGGGAGCGTGGACCAAGGTCTTGGACTCTCCTTTTCTCTCATTGCCCCAGGCTTCAAAGCCGAGTGGCTTGCTGTGAAGGACGAGCACCTGTATGTGGGTGGCCTGGGCAAGGAGTGGACCACCACCACCGGGGAGGTGATGAACGAGAACCCGGAGTGGGTGAAGGTGGTGGGCCACAAGGGCAGCGTGACCCACGAGAACTGGGTGTCCAGCTACAATGCTCTGAGGGCTGCCGCTGGCATCCGACCTCCAGGTAAGAAGCCACCTCGTCCCTCCTGAAGCAAGGTGATTTCAAAGCTTGCTCAGTTTCAGTGATTTCAGCTGTGTCCTTCAGGGAGGTGGATTCTGGGATGAAAGAGCTCTCTCTCTCTCTCTCCATCCCTCACTGGCCTTGACAGATAGCCTCAGCCCACCCAGGCTGTAGCCTCCTCATCCACGACAAGCAGCCCTGACCTGGGCCCTGTTTCTATTTCCTGACGGCTGAGGCCACAACACTCATAGGCAGAGCAGGAGGTAGGCAAGACCTGGCCTGCCCTCCTCTGGGCTCAGTCGGGTGAGGGGCAGAGCCCGCAGGGACCCAAGACCTCTCAGAGAAAGGTCCTCTCTCTGAGGACACCCAGAGTGCCCCTCCTGGCCGACGTGGGCGAGGCGGCTTCCTCCTACTTGGCACAGTTAGTCTAGGCTTTCCCCCTTTCGGCCTCCTCTTCTGTGCCCCAGGATTAGCAAGGGGACAAAGAAGACAGAACTGGTCAAGTCCACGGGCCTGTGGAGACATGGGGGCAGCCGGTGGCGGGGACGTCACGGTCCGGACGGTTGGCCGGATGGTTGAGCCCAGCCGCAGATGGAAGGCTTTCCTGAGGGCCGGGGAGCTGCAGGAAGGGCGGCAGGGTGGGTGCCGACTGGGTCTGTGCTCCGTCCCAGGCTACCTCATTCACGAGTCCGCCTGCTGGAGCGACACGCTGCAGCGCTGGTTCTTCCTGCCACGCCGGGCCAGCCACGAGCGCTACAGTGAGAGGGACGACGAGCGCAAGGGCACCAACCTCCTGCTGAGCGCCGCCCCCGACTTCCGGGACATCTCCGTGAGACAGGTGGGGGAGCGGGTCCCCACACACGGCTTCTCGTCCTTCAAGTTCATCCCCAACACCGACGACCAGATCATTGTGGCTCTCAAGTCGGAAGAGGACAGCGGCAGGATTGCCACCTACATCGTGGCCTTCACGCTGGACGGCCGCGTGCTGCTGCCGGAGACCAAGATAGGCAGCGTCAAGTACGAAGGGATAGAGTTCGTCTAGACGAGCGAGTTCCCACGTGCAAGGCCGCGGGGGGCGCCGTCAAAACAGGGACGCACCTGCGCTTGTTTTGTTTTGTCTTTTCTAACGGAGGTGTGTGACTGGCCTAGAGAGTTCCAGAACAGAGTGTCAAGCCCCAGGCCGTGAGGCACAGCCGCAGGTATCATGTCCTGGAGCTGGGCGCAAGGGCAGGGGTCCCATGGAGGGGTCCCCTCCACCCCTCCGTGACTGCACTGTCACCTGGTGGTGGAAAGTGGTACTGCTGCGGGCACCTTTGGGGCGCCTGGTCTTCAGAATTTTGCTCCTGCCCCTCCCTCTCTTCCTCCCTCCCTCTCTCCCTCCCACCCACTCTGTCCTCCTCCCTTCCTTCCGTCTGGCCTCCCTTGCCTTTCCATTTGTTTTGTGGCCAGTCCACCTTTCTGAAGCAACCAGGGTATGTTAAGCACTGTGCCTCACCCTGGGAGCAGGAGCCAGTTTGAAGTGGGTCTGCCTGGTGGGACTCCCAGGCCACCCTCTCTTCCTCCTGTGTGTGGAAGTTCCTCTGGGAGTTCCACACCGAAAACCCTAGGAAAGTAAATGTTTACATGGCAGGTTGAAGGGCCGACCCTCAGGACACCCCTGCCCACACCTCTGAGGTGGCCCCGGCACAGGCTTGCTCCCAAGCTGTTCATGAAGTGCTCACCGCTTCCCAAGGACTCCGCTTTCTCCCTTCCGGAGGGTTCTGTGGCTGTGGAGCACTTTGAAGTTTTAATTATTAACCTATATTTTATTAAACAATTCTCTTTCCTATAAAACAGAATCACAAGTCTTATCATGCATTTCCACATTGGCCCCAGCAGGACGGAAGCACGGTGGCGAGCCGTTAGCCTTTATACAGAGAGTTTCTAAGTCTCTGCCTTCTCACAGCTTTCAGAAACTGCCATGCCCTTGTCTCTCAGCAGTAGCTTGAATGTTTTGCCCTGATGCAGGAGAGGCCCTGGGTACTAATGGTCCTGCAGGTGACAGGATTGCCCCCGTCATCCCCTCCATTTCTATCTGACTCCCAGTAGGATTTAGCAGTGTGCTGCCCAGGAAAGAAACACAGGTCCTCGCTGTTCCATGCTGTCTCTCCTTGAGAGCAAAGGCCTTGGTGATCCTCACAGACTTTTTCCACTGGGAAGCTGAGGGAGGGCCACCCCCGCTGGGGGACCCCCACTGTCTGCCAGACAAGCCGCATCAGTGAAGGTGGTCTGGGGTGAGGCATTTCTATAGACTTCCCTGGCGCTTTCTGCCTTGGCTGGGAGTTCTATCGCATCTCCTTGACGAGTGTCAGCCACGTTAGTCTGTGTAATTCCAAACTGAGAGATGGAATGAGGGAGGCTGAAGGGCCCTTTGCCGGTGTGTCACTGCGGCGTGTGGCACAGCCTTTCCATACCTTCCTTTTCCCTCTGGTCCCTGACCACAGCATGATGATTGTGTCCGTCCCACCCTCCATTTATTTTGTAAACAATAAAGTGTCAGGGGAATGTGAATTCTTGTGTGTGTTGGCTGTTGCGAGGGTGCTGTCCCAGAGTATGTGGAGACGTACATAGCTCTGAGCAAGCCGTGGGGCCCTGGGACTGGTACCTCACCTTCCCACCATGGCAGCCCTAGAAACTGGCTCCCCATCCAGCTTCCCCATCTGATGGAAAGAGCAGTGTGTAGGGGCCACTTCGGGCCTTCAGGCTCTGTCCTGTTCTGTTTCTTCCCACTCTGGCTGTTACTAGACTTGTTAGGGCCAGAGCCTGGGCCCTGGCAGCCCTAATAAACCAGACTTGGACTCCCACCTCAATAAGCCAATTAAAGAGACAAGTGTAAAGCAGAGAGGTGGTTTACTCCATGAGGACACACTGCGGAGATGAACCAATAGCGAGATGGCTCAGGGGGTCCAGCAGTTACCACAAGCCTGAAAGACAGCGTGATCCTCAGAACCCATGGTGACTCCCCAAAGCTGTTCTCTGACCTGCACATGCCTCACTGTGGCAGATGCTGGCATACACACACATACACATACACACTAATAAAAGGTGCAGCGACACCCCCACCCAAGACTGGAGAGAGATGTAAGCTCTGAACAAGTCATGGGGCCCTGGGACTGGTTTACGTAGAAAGTAGAATATAACTTGCAGTCCCGGTGAAGGTGTGGTCCCTCCCATCACTGACCCCGGTTTTGTCTAGTCCTGGCTCCTGCTCTGTTCTGGAAGGTGGTCTGGCAGGTCAGGACTGTGTAGACTCTTCCCAGGAGACAAGTTCCTGTGACTGGCACCAGGCTTCAGTCTTTTTTTCCTCCAGCGTGAGACTTCTGGGGAAAGCCCAGTTCCTTGGGGCCATTATCGCAATAGTTCAATAGCCACAGGGAAGGTGGAGTCTTTTCTTCCTGCCAGTGTGGTTACATGGCCAGGACTCATTCTCTTGCTTCCTGTGGGCCATTTCCTCCTCAGAAGACTTCCCAGAGCAACCTCCCAGGGCTGTGGGACCGCTGAGTGTGCGAACCCACAGGAGGCACTTAGGGGCATGACGTGGCTTACTCCAGTGGGGAGAGCTGGAAGGTTTGGTGACAAGTGGCACCGGGGCAAGAGATGGTACCCATCCGAGTCCACTAGTTGTGGAGAATCCCCAAGAATGCACTGAAGTCCTCTGGCTGAGAGGGGCAGGGAGAAGTTACCAATACGTCTGTACCTTCTCAGAGACCCCCCTCCAAAAAAAGAGACTTTGGTTTTTAATTATATTTGACAACTTTATACATATATAAAATTTATTTTGATCATATTTCACTCTTTTTTGCCCTGAGAAACTTCTCTGTTCAGTGGTGTAAAGCAAAAAAAAACCCAAGTTTATTGTGTGGCCAGAGGGTGGAGAAGTGCACTTTGCTCACAGAGCGGTTTCTCAAGACCCGGTGTGGGAAGTCCCAGATGCACAGTGAATGGAGTGAGAGGAAGGGGCGCCCCAAGAAGGAGAAGGGTGTCTTCTGCAATGGGAATCCAGTCACTTCTTTCTTACGCTTTTTGCTGCCAGGGTCTTGACAATTCTCAGCTATTTTGGGGCTGTGACTGTCATTTAGTGTTGGAACGGGTCTTGGGGTCTACTAGAAGTCACTGTGGGGGGTATTATCCTGAAGAGACCATTGTGACTTCCAGACCCTGTCTCTCAGTTTGGGGGTGCCCAGGTCAGCCAGGTTGTACTACCCTGCCCTGGGTAACCCAAAGAATGGGGGGCGGGAGCCCACTTGGCCTTTTTTCCCCCTCAGCTTGCTCGTCTCTTCCTCAGGCTCTGGGCCTCCAGATGTGTCATGGGGTGACTGGCGGTGTTGTGGGAGCTTCTGGAAATCAGGAGACCAACAGCTGGTCCAGGTGAAGGAGAGAATTTATTCATGCTGGTGGGCTGACACTTGGATCACTGGTAATAGCTCCAGCCCCTGGTTCAAGTTCCTAAGGAAATTTATAGTCAATTCTTATGCAAGCAGGGGTTAGGTATAAGTGGTCATAAGAATGTAGCAGTTTGGCAAAAACAGATTTCAGCGGTGGGTAGACAGCGAGGGCAGATTCCTGTTTACCTTCCTCATTTTTTAAAAATTTATCTCATCTTGGAGACTTGTCATGGTTCAGAGTTCCTTACAAACCGTTTCATTGCCCAGGAACTCACCATTGCTATCACACAGGGAGCCTCATGTTCCCAGAGCCTGGCCTCTTGGGAAGTCCCTGTGTGCCGCAGTGTCTGGGCCTAGTAACTACCATCTGCTGGCCTGGGAATGGTCATAGTGCAACTGTTCCCATTGTATACCACACAGTCCCCTGTAATAGCTCTGCCTCTTGAGTGTCAGCCTAGAAATTTTCCCATATGGGAGCCTCTCAAGAGGCTCCTGATCCTGGGGCACCAGCCTTCCTCTTACGGCCAGGACAAAAGACAGACCACAGGGCCAGTCAGCCAAGGTCCAGAGACCTGCTGTGACCTGCCATCCTTCCCTCCAGAGGAGGCAAAGCTAGGAAGCTCCGAGCCCAGGCTGGCTGATGGGGCTGCAGAAGGGTGAACCCAGGCTGGAGGCACTGCAGAGACTTAGTGGCCTAGAGCCACCAAGGCAGGCCAGGGACTGGTGGTCCTCCCATCCTGTCCTCTCCAGGGGGCACTCCCATCTTCTCTTTCACATCTGCACCCAAAACTGACAGAAGCCATGAGGTGGTGATGCTGGAGCTCCCAAGTCAGCACTGAGTCCCCCTCAGCGGGCCAGCCAGCCCTGTGGTGGCAGCTCTCTCCATGGTTTCTCCAGAGGAACTGTGTGACCCAAGGGCCACAGGAAACTGCACATCTTGGGAAAGCAGTCATTGAGTGCTCTGGGGCTTGAAACTTTTGAGGATCTGAAATTGGCTGTGCTTGTATACTGTATATACCAGAACTGCCTGGAACTTCCAAAATGTCTGTCCCTCCCCGTCAGGCGGATGTGGACACTGATGTCTGTCACTGGTGATTCTCCTGGACAGTCTAGGTTCAGATGCCCTGGGCAAAGAGCCTGCAACCCTCTGGATCCACACAGCCAGGAGAGAGAGCAGGCTGTTCCACAAGAGGAAATTGAGGCACAGGCTTTCTGTAGAGGAAGGGGAATGGGTAGAGTCGGGACCGGGCAGAACCGATTGGTGTCCGCGAGAGTGTCTGTACCGTGACCCACTGGGACTATCCGGAGACTGTGGCCCTGGGGTTGGATGTGTCAGTCCAGTCTCCAGGTGCACACCTGGGCATGATGTCTCGGGGCCTCCCTGTTGCCTGGAATGAGGAGCTCAAGGTGCAGGATAAAAGTATTCACCAATTAAGAGTAGACACTGGGGACAGAAACAGCAGGTACGTTCTCAGAGAGTTTACTCCTGAGAAGGAATCGGGTGCTTTTGGAGCATATAGGAGAGGGTTGCCTGGCCTTGGCTCCTGGGTCATTTCTCTGGGGGCTTTTGAAGAGTTCACGAAGCAGTTCCCCATCTTGAGGTCATAAATCCTGCATCTCCAGAGATTCAGGTGAGGCGCCAGGGGCCACTGTGTATAAGCCAACACAAGTCTGTGTGTCAGGCTCTAAGCAATTAGAAAGTGCTAGAGGGTCGAAATTTTTGCCTTTTATTTAAAAAAATTTTTTTAGATTTATTGTGTGTGTGTGTGTGTGTGTGTGTGTGTGTGTGCATATATACATGTGTGTACACACATTGCCGTGGTACACATGCAGAGGTCAGAAGAAAACTTGCAGAAGTTGACTCTCTCCTTCCACGGTGTGGACTCCAAGGATCAAACACAGATGGTTAGGATTGGTAGTCAGTGCCCTTACCTGCTGAGTCATCCTACCAGACCTGCTTTAATTTTATTTTTATTTTTTTAGACAAGGTCTCACTATGTAACCCTGGCTGACCGGAAACTTAATATGTAGACTTGGCTGGCCTCAAACTTACAGAGATTCACCTACCTCTTGAGTACTAGCATTTAAAGCATGCACCACCACACCCAGCTGCTCTGATTTTCTCTCTCTTTTTTAAAACTAGATACTGTAGAAACCTTTAAAAATTACTATTATTGCCAGGCGTGGTGGCACACGCCTGTAATCCCAGCACCTGGGAGGCAGAGGCAGGCAGATCTCTGTGAGTTTGAGGCCAGCCTGGTCTACATAGTGAGTTCCAGGACAGCTGGGGCTACAGGGAGACCCTGTCTCAAAAAGACCAAAAAAATTATTATTTATTATTATTATTATTATTATTATTATTATTATTATTATTATTATTATTATTATTATTATTATTATTATTATTATTATTATTATTATTATTATTATTATTATTATTATTTGAGACAGGGTCTCCCTGTTGTCCCAGGTGGCCTGAAACACTATGTAAAGCAGACTTCCCTCAATCTCACAGAGGTCTTCCTGCCTCTGCCTCCCGAGTCCTGAGAACTAAAGAAGTGAGCCATCACACCCAGCTATTTTCATTATTTTTAAGAAATCGTGTGTGTGTGTGTGCGTGTGAGTGCAGGTGCCTGTCTATCCCCCTGGAACTGGAGTTGCAGGTGGCTATGAGTGCTGGAATCAAATCCAAATCCTCTGCAAGAGCAGTATGCGCTCTTAACTACAAAGTGTCATCTCTCCAGCCCCCCAGCCCTGCTTTTTATTTTTGGCTGTTTTGGCTTTATATCTGCCCCTAGCCAGGTCTAGGCATGCCCCACTCTATAGTCGGCATGCCCCAACTCTAACCAAGCAGGATAAGTTTGCTCATGGGTGCTGGGAGCTGCTCCAAGCCTAGGAGAGGATTCAGGGGTGGGGGTGTACACCCATGGTCACATTTTGGTACACAGACACAGTCTGTCTGCTCCAGCCTCTGCTCCTAGGCCCACTAACCCCACCTTCCCACTGTCCCCCACGTGCCAGCCCCAGGGGGCTGGGCCAGCCTGGACATGAGTCTTTTCACCCATAGCTGGAGCTGGGGTATTGATGCTGCTGTTTGTCAGTCAGCCAGACAGCACTTGGGTGCCTGCCATCTGCCCAGCAGAGCACGGAATGAGCAGAGACCTCTAGTCTTGTCTGCAGCCAACCCCAGAAGCAGCCTCTGTCATGTGTTTTCTGGAAACCGAAACCAGACTTTGTTTCTGAAGCATTTCCCTGGAGCAGGCTGAGAAAAGCCACATAGGGAGGCTCTTCCGGGTTGGACAGTCTGCAGAGGCCCCCACGGCAGCCAGGAAAGAGACTCCAGGACCACCTTTATCAGCTGCTCCAGACAGGTAAGTTCCTGCCTCTTGCTCCCAGGCGGGTGCTCCTCTCCAGCATGATCACGTGTGGGCCATTGAGCCCAGCAGCCCTCTGTGTTCCTCCCAGACCTGCAGAGCCTTTGTACAGTTACATATACTATTGACTGCTCAGATGTCAGCCAAAGGGGCGAGTGGATCAGAATTTAGTCCTTAGCCTTCTCGTACATTTGTGGATTCTGGCCCAGGTCTTCCTTCACCATCCAGAAGGCAGAAATGCCCATATGTCCTACACTGTTGCCAAGGCCCAGAGCTCCTGTCCTAGCCTGAACAAACCTGCTGGCCACGGTTTGCAACAAGTAGAGAGGGTGGGCACCCAGAGCAGTTTGCCTTGGGTCTGAGGTTTCCCAGGACTCAGGGCTGCCAGGGTAGAGCTGGGCTGTCCTAGGACACAGACATGGAACTCCCTGGCTCCTTCAGCCTCTGCTGGGGTCTGCACAGTGGAACATAGGTACTGACCTGGGGCTCCCCAGCTGTGTGACCTGGGCCAGTGGGCTCCCCAGCTTCACCTGGGTAAGGGGTATGTTGCTCTTTGGGATTTGGTGTGGCATCTGTCTCTCAGAGTTCTGGGTAAGGCTGACATGAGCCTGCCTGGGGGGTAGGGGCCAGCAATGAAGGCCAAGCTTCCCATTTGTCAATGTGTTAGGGTCAGAGCCTAGCCCCTTTAACAAGCCAGGTTCAAACACCCACCCTCAGCAGTCTAACTAAAGACACAATTGACAGTGAGGAGCAGGAAAAGGAGAATTAGTCAACGTGGCTACATTAAGAAGAGGAGCAAAGACCGAGTGATTCCCCCAAGTCTATTCAGGGTATTATGGGGGTGTTATGGTAAGGTTTAGATTTAAATAGAGGGCCAGAGAGTTGCATAACCAAGCAGGCTTGGTCAAAGTGTGGCCCTATCTATCATGGCTGCCTGGACTCCGGTCTCTCTGCAAAATGGTCTGACAGGCTGTAAATCTCTTTCCTGAGACCAGCTCACCCTCTGGCTGGCACCAGACTTCAGTCTTCTCCGTCTCTCAGCAGGAGACTCCTGGGGAAATTCCAGTTCCTTGGGTCCATTGTTTCCGGTAGTCTGATAGCCACAAGGAGGGGCACAAGTGTCTCTTAGAATATTTTCATTTCTGCTGGGATAGTTACAAGTGGGCTGAGATCCCTCACCCCCAGGTCTTAATGCAAGTTCTAGCGCAAAGGACTCTGTGAGGGCATAATTGTGCACTGCTTCTGGGACACCACTGCTGCCACCCCACAGACCCCACTCTGAGCCGCAAAGAGCAGCCGCCAACTTGAGGTTACCAGTTTCTGGCCTAGGTAGATAGTGCTCCCCACAGCACCACCCAGTGGCCAATCCCAAGCTTGCTGACTGCAGGGAGCAGAGTGGGTTTCACAGGGACTCTGAGGGGGATGTGGACAGTGTCCGGGAGGGGCACATCCCACAGACCAGGCAAGGGCTCAGGCCAAAACCTGAGTCCCAAGTCCCTCTCTTCCCAGGCCTTGGTGGGCCCCAGCTTCTCTGAGTCAGTGTCTTAGGGTTCAGTTTTGAGTCACCCCCACCCACCTGGCTCTTATCATCCCCAACTACACATCTCAGAGCCCCAGGGCCAGCTGCAGACCATCCCTATCAGTTCCCTGCACCACCATGATCCCTAACCCCTCTCCCCACTGGCGTATCTTCAGCCTCTGGGGCACAACCTGAAGGGGACTGTTGCTTGACGCTAAAACCAATAGTTAACAGGCACTGTCTATCTCCAAAGGACAGCCTCCCCTCACTTTCCTCGGTCCTCACTGCCCGTGACCCCCAGCCCACCTGCTCCATCTTGCCAAGTCTTACTGACCTGTGGGGTTGCCCTGAAGAGCAAGTGAGGGGCCTGTATTGGGGCCCACATTGAACTCTCTGGCATCTGGGCTCTGCGGGAGAAGTCCTACTGACCACAGAATTATCCTGCCCTCCGCAAACAGTGCTGAGGGGACCACTGAACTGTCAGTCTGGGAGGGGCTGCTGGTCTCACTCTGATGCTCTTTCTGCTGCAGGGTGGGGCTTCCAGGCCAGGCAATGGACCCCCTGTGGCTCCTCTGTGTGTGGCTGCTGGTCCCCAGGACTCAAGGTAAGTCATGTCCACTGGGAAATGTCCAAAGCTGAAGTCCTAGAGGGTGCTGTGCCTTGCTTGCTCTGTGAATGCTAGGTCCCAGGATTCTCCCCCATGTGGATCCCTAGTCATCCTAAATGATGGCAGTATTGGGGATCTTGGGGCTCCCCTGGGCTGAGGTGAGATGCAAGTAATGCAGAAAGTGCTAATGAACCCCCCCCCAATCCCGTCAGCAGACCAGAGAGTGCTGATCCAAGTCTGTCCTGAGGTCAGAGGCCTCAGGGCATAGTC